TTCTTCCTCTACTCCCGATAACACATTCTTCTTTCATGAGTCCAGCTTTTGAATGATCTGCTCAGCATTCAGAATGAATAGGTCTGGAGAAAGAATACAACCTTTCCTGATTTTGAACCATGCAGTCTTCCTTTGCTCTGTTTTAACAACAGCTTGCTGGTGTAGCTATATGTTTTATGTGAGCATAATTAAAGGTACTGGGATTCTCCTTTTTCTCATTGACTTCAGATAATATAACAGAAATATGAATAGAATCAGCTACAGAGTTGCTATGAAAATGATAATGACTTCATATTTGTACATTATTTAGAATTGTGCTTCTAGAATGCACCTTATAAGTAACTTTCCTTTTTTATCCCATCCAATTAAATAATGATAAGATTTACCATTTGACAATGCCCATAATTTTTACTGGATGACCAAGCATATTTCAACTGGAGATAAAATCAGTCTGTGTATAAGGATCCTCTAAGATTTTGTGCACAATTACAATGGTGTATTAATGCTCCACTTGCTAGAAGGTATACGTGGGTTAGATATTGCCCCCTATTATTACATTTCTTCAGGTTTTTTTCTCCAAATATTTTGAGAGTTTAGAAGTGTCATTTAAAGCCTATCACCTAAGAAAATTTTCCCTGTCAAAAAGATATTTATTATGAAACTGCAGAAGAAGGTCTGACCTAGAACTCATCTATATGTTTCTTAAAATTCTATGCACAGTGAAAATTCCTCAAGGGCAGATTAGCAGACTGTGACTCAGTTTGGGTCCTGTGCATGAAAAACTATGTTTGGTGTCCAGTAACACAGAACTATTTTCTCTTTTAATATCAAAGATGAAGGAGAATCTCCTGGAAAATTAAAGGATAATCAGGTTGGCGGTAGAGTCTATGAAAATCAACATCTTTAATCCATAGTAATATCGCAGAAAAACACAAGATTAAAGTAACACAATATCTAAAATAGATGATAAATGAGAAAGCAGGATGATTGTTTTCTAATTCCATGTTGATAACTTTAACAACCTGTCCCTTATTACATACAGATTTCTAAATTGAATGGCTGGAGTTTTTTTAAATAGTTTTTAAGAACATTCAGTCAAATTGACTGTGCTAAAATCTTTGTGATAGTGCATATTAAAAAGTAAAATCTTACATGTTTCCTAAAGAATCATTTATCCTAATAAAGATCAGTTTGTCTGTTCTATACACATTTGAGAGCATTTACAAAGTATTCTATAAAAACACCTATACATTAAAAAGAATTCATGGTTGAAATTTTATTGCTGTATTTGAAATCCTCCTGTAGTATTTTGAAATTCTGATGAATACCAGGTATCTGTCAATTATATAAGTTGTTGTTGTTATAAGTACTTTCTGAAAATCAAACTGCAAACTTCCTTCAGTATGTAGAGCAAGAATAATATCCCTCATTTAAATTTTGAGATTTGACTTAATTTCATAGCACTATAAAGTAATTCTAATACGCTTTGGACAAAATTTTCCAAGTTTTATCATTCCATAATATATTAAGTAAAATGAATAATTTTCTTTGGATAATTGATAATATTCTACAAATTTATTTAAGTATATTCCACAGAATATGAAGCACATTAAGTTGCTACTTATAGAACATTTTATGACTAATGAAGGAAATATGCCAGAGACTAAGTTCTTATAGTCATCTAGAAGATTCTTTAAAACTTGTATTTTCTGAAAGCAGGAACTTTTCCTAAGTCGTATTCACTACTGTAGCTTTGAGTCTGTAGCAATGTCTTATAATTACCAGGCATTCAAAAGGAATCAATATTAATGGTTTTAAATACTTTTTCAGTCAAGAATTTGCTTTCATTTTTTTAAACTCTGATTATTTCATGGTGACTTCATCAGTGATTTTTTTTTTCCTTTTCGTTAACTCTATAGGATATTTTAGGCATCAAGGGGAAAAAAAGGGAACACAGGAAGCAGATTTGGAGTTACTATCTAAGTGATAATTAAATGTGACAATTATAATAAAAGAGTCCTGGGGACCCCTCCCCTGGTACTCTCATCTCATACCTGAACCTCAGGAATCCAGAATTAAGGTTGCATAAAGAAGTGTACTTGGGGTGGGGGGAGGGATGGGGGAATTGTATACTAATGAAGGAATTTTTTTTCTTTTTTCTCTCTTCGGAGGGGGAAGCAAGTTGGTGGGGAGGGGTGGGAAGGGAGAAAATTGCGGCAATGAATGAGTAGAAATCCAAAACCTCTGTAAAAATAAAAAAAAAAATTAAAAAATAATGAGGAAATAACAACATTAGGACTTCTGTTTAGAAAATACTCATCAACATCCTGCTTTTGAAAATTCTGGAGCAAGAGATTAATGAAATCTCTTCAAGCACTAAGATTTTAATTTCTTGCTAGCCAATTAAGGCAAATTTCTCTTCAATTTTCTGTGATCACTTTCCTTCTTTGAGTCTAATCACATCACATCCAACTCAGCTGTTACTTCCATGCAGAAAGTTGACTGTAAGATTCCAGAAAAGTGACAAAAAAAAAACAAGCCTCAAAAAATGTGAATGGAAACAATGAGAACTCTCAACAAAGAAAGAAAATTCAAATATCACTGAATGTAATTCTCAAAGTGAGGGCAGAGATTGCTCAATGAAACACAAAAAAGAGTCCCCCCAAGCAAAACAACTGCAAGATCTGAGCCTTCTTCACAGAAACTGTAAATGTCTCCATCTCCTGAATGTGAGGTGAAAAAGTCAAGAGGAAAAAAACAAAACAAAGCAAAACCCCAAAAAACCTGACCAGCGTTGAGGAGGTTACAACTAGAGAAGAGAAAATATTATAAATACCAAGAAACTGTTTAGCGCATTCATTTGCTATTGTCTGCTATTTTCAGACCACAGGCTGAAAGGAAATAATATATTTACAAAGCATGCATTTTTTTTACAATTTTGTGTAATTTTAAAAAGCAGTTGCGGTGTTGGCTATTTTAGCCATTACCTTAGCCCCCTCTTGTCACCAGTTACTTTAACTACGGATATATGGTCTTGAAAATCATCAACAGCAGTGGGACTAGTTTAAGAGAAAGAGAGTGAGTAGAAAGATTTGAAGGAGACTGATGTGAGACTCTGGTGAGAGTGAGATCCTAGAGATGGTGGTGAAGAAACTGTGGCACCGCTGTGGAGAAACTGTGGCAAGGGGTAACTGAGGAGCCATGAGATAAAAGCCACAGTAAAAGACTTTGCAGTGCTTGCTGGATAATTAAGGAGAAGCTGACTATAACTGCTTCAAGGTGAACTTTGCTAGATTATTTAGATTTGACTGATGAACTGAACTAGAACTTTTACTAATTAAGGAACTGTGCTTTGCTGTTAATCTAGCTTTGGACTGCTGGACTAACTCTGTATTTGTGGCATCCACTTCCTAACAACATGCTTTGAAACTCTGTGAACTTTGCGAAATGAGGATATTTACAAGTCTCTAATTTATTTATCTAAAAAAAAACCCACTCTTTGTACCACAATGGTGGAAAATCTGTGAGTCAACAATAGATAAATGGGCATTTGACTACTGGCACCTCTGAGTTCTTCATCTGCTTTCCACTCTGAGGTGGTGAGGGGCTGTGCTATTCTAACTCCCTCTGGTTCTTTCAGAAAGACCTCACAACCCTGTTCCTCTATGTCTCATTTTCTACACCTTGCTCAGCAGTCTACAAATTTTCCAGAAGATTTCAGGCCAATTATAATTCAGCAATAACATTTTAGAATCATCATCAATAGACAAAACTACTTCATTGTATTATCTGAAACTCCCCAGTATAAACAGGTCTGTTTTCAACCCAGATGCAATATAACAATTGATACTTCTGATTCAACTTAATTATACAGAAGAAGGATGGGCAATCAATCTCCTCCTCTGCAATTTACTGCCTCTGAAACCTGCTAGAGGGTCAACTATGAGTTGTTTTTGACTCAATGGCACATAACAACAACAACAACAAATTAAGGCAAGCAGTTTGAAGCCACCAGCTGCTCCCTGGAGAAAAAAGATGGGCAATCTCCTCCTAGGTGATGTACTTTCCATGAACATCTGCTGAAGGGTCTGCTATAGATCAGTTCCTATGCAACTGCATATATCAACAGTGCATATATTGGATTTTGAGTTACTTAAGAAGTATGTGATTACATAAAAACAAAACAATATAACAAACCAACAACTCAATGACATAGTGTGATCATTATTTTCATAATACATATGAATTGGAACTGCATTCCTGAGCTGTAATAATCTCTTTCAGCAAAGTATAGTAAACTGTGATCAACAAGCATTAGGACTAACACAGTTTAACTGGCAAAGAATAGTTTTTAAAATTTGGTCAAGATCTTTTACAATAATTTTTTAAAAAAAATATTTTCCCCTCAAAGTTTCAAGTACAATCATAAATGTTTATAAATTGCATTTAAAAAAATTAAATATACTACTAGGTAGATGTTCTTTTGAGTATTTATATACTAAAAATTCATTTTTTGTCTTCAAATTCATTTCATATAGAAGACAAAAATACCTAGCATAATATATTGTCGGATTTACTGCTATGTTTTTTACAGTTTTATGCATTATTTACTGCTATATTTTTTCCAGTTTTATGAAAGTTGAACCATCATTCAAAGTAGTGAAAAAATGAAATTCAATCTCATAAATTTAGATAGCTACACATACAATTAAAAAAGAGCTAGGCTAACAAAAAGTATCAATATATGATATGTGGATAAATGTGTGATAACCATCATCATGCAGTTATAAGCAAACACAAAGATTAGAATTTCAATCTACCATTCTACCTATTTCATTCATTTTTTTCAAGCTTAATAACTTATTTATTTGTTAAACAGCAAGAGGTAGGGACATCACAGCCTACACTTCATTTTTGTCAGCCTGTAAGTTCCTTCTCATATTTAAATGAGTGAAATCAGTCAGTATATTAGTTTATAAAAGAAAAGTGTCATCTCCTACCTCCATTATCTTTGAGATGCAGTGCAATCTTGGTGTCATCTGGAATAAAAGTTAAAAGTTATCATAACAAAGAAATTTTTAAAATTATACTTATCATCAGTAATTTTCTAATAACTGTTTGAAATATAACATGTCTAGGCTTCAACAATTTACTGAGATAATTTATATACAGTGAGTGTAAGTCCTATCTTTACATGATGTAGGACTAAAATTTTTACTGTGATTGTAAGATCAACTGTGACTTGAATACCTCTAAGGTATTATATGGCTCTTAATACTTTTGAGAAAAAGAAACATACATATTTTTGAGAAAAGGAAATATACTTATTTTTCATATTCTAAAACAATACTGTAAATCATTCAATCTTAATTATTCATTTTTAAAATGAAGATTTGGAAGATACCAAGTAAACTGGAATAAAAAGATCGGTCAATAGTCATAAAATACATTTTTAAGAGTGAAATCTTTTTGTTTGTTATGCTTAACAAATATCATCAAAACCACCTGTGAAAAGGTTGTGCTCCCCCAAACAAGGTAATATGGGCCTTTTTTAATTTCAGTGGCCACATTTCATTAGAAAGAGAAAGATTAAATTCACTATTTTCACAGGTATTAACCCGGCAGTACATAATGTTGACTGAAATACAACACTGTTTTCAAAAGCTATAAAATGCATTTATCAGCCATCTTCCCATTTACTTTATTTCAACCAAAGGCCACTGCTGTCAAGTTGCTTCTGACTCATAGTGACCGAAATACATTTTAATGAAATGCAAAATATAAATTTTCAGTTTCTTTTTTCAATGCTAGTAAGTTTACAACATGAAATATGTAAGGCCATTTCATCTCTACTACATTAAACATCACTTTTGGCAGCTAGTATTTAATTTTTGTGTATTTCGTATAGACAGAATTCAGGTAAGAATAATAAAAGAGCATTATAAGACAAGGCTAACAAGTAGGCTAATATTACATCTTTTTCCACTTAGGAGTTATGCCTTTCCATTTAAGTTTGTTCGTATTTTTTATTTTTCTGGAAGAATGACTTCAAGGGCAATTTCTATTGACATATACAGTTGTTTTCTCTAAGTTATGAATCAACACACTTCATTGATTTTATTCACTGTAACATTAGAGTCAAATATGAATAAAATTATTTATTGTTCTGAATCCCAAACTAGTGGGCATTTCACCTGCCTTTTGGTTTTATATACAAGGATTTATGTTAGAGCAATGTTAAAGAACTCTGCTATTAACCGAAAGGTTGTTGGCTTGAATTCACTAGTCACTCCTCAGGAGAAAGATGAGTTATTCTGCTGCACTGCAATCCCAGAGGTGCGCGGTTTGAATCCACCAGATGCTCTGCAGGAGAATGAGGGACAATCTCTTCCTGTACCAGTCAGATCCAATTTGATGGAACACACACCCAAAATAATAAAATTTTTAAAAAAATATATACAGGCTTGGGAAACCTATGAAGCAGTTCTAACGTGTCCTTCAAGAGTAATCATGGGTAGGATTCAACACAACAGCAATGGATTTTGGGTTTTTCTGTTCTATGATTGAAATACTGAATTCAGTTACTGTAAAGCTCAATCACAGTAAGAAAAGTCTGTATTTATTTATTATGGAGGACAAGAATCCAGAATCACTGTTAAAATCTAAGTCTTAGTAAATTGCGAATAGTAGGAGGAATGTTGCATGTTGGCCTTCTAACTAAAAGGTTAGTAGGTCAAATCAATCAGCAGCTTTGAAAGATGGGGCAATCTGCTCAAGTTTTCAAGCTTTAGAGACCTGATGGAGAGTCACTATGAGTCAAAATTAATTCAGAGGCAGTGGGTTTTGGTTTTTAAATTAAAAGAAATGCAGCTTATAATTTTTCTATAATAATTTTGCTTTTTCCCCCTACAGAAAATCTCTTGGAAATATAATTTGTCAAGGAGTAAATCTGCCTTTAAAGAGCTACTGTAATATATGCTAACACCGTGATTTTCTTCCCTCAAAGCATAAAAACACAGAAATAACTCCAGGGCACCTTCAGTGGGCAGGCTGGTGGGCAGCTGTGACGTTGCTGCTCTCCTGGTGGTGGTTAAGACTTTGAACTGTGTGGTGGTGGCTCGGAAAGTCGTGGTGGTTTCGGAATTTTCCACTGGCTCTGAGTCCTCACACATCTTCTCTTTTGACTAGTCAGAAAAAGAGTTTAAGAGTGACTGCATGCATGTACTTTGTTATATCAAGAAGTTGGGTGGCATAACATGAAAGACTCAAAGATTAAGACTAAGCACCCTTTAGAGTAGATCCTATTCATAGATTTCACCAATTTACAAAGTACAGATAAAATCTGAGGACAACAGTTGGATATAACTAATAATTTCCACCTCTAGATATTTGAACTTCACCTTTTTTTTTTGCTTTTACATTTTCATGTGATTATTTATCTTACTCTAAATTTTATATCCATTTATTTGTCAAAGGCACAATGCCAAAAAGAAAAAAGAATTCAGGTAGAGTGAAAAATACGTGGATAAAGATAAAGCTTAAATTATGCTTCGGTAAATGAAGAGAGTGCACATTCTTATCATAGTAAACTGTTAACGCAAAAATCCTCATAATCTTGCAACTGTTCCATGCTACTTGATTGTTTCAAAAATAACCTACGATAGGTTCACAGAGTATTTAAAAGTATTCTTTGTATTATGAATATACAAAACTACAAAAGGAGAGTATCATGTAATCACTTAGTTCATCTCTCTTCTCCCTAGCAGAGCTATTCTGAGAAAACCAGGGAAAGGCATTTGTAAGTAATTTAAAACCTCACAAATATATCCTATAACCTTTACTAGGCACAGCTCTCCAATGTGCAACCTCTTATGGCTCTGTCATTTGTATTGCACTTTTATGTCTAAAAGGATCCCTGTATCCTTGGTAGATTCTGAGCTGAAAATAACTATTCTTTATAAGTATAGCACTCACCCCATCCTTGTCTTTAAATAACTTTGTTAAACTTCTCCTGTCTTTAGTGAAATAATGTTTACATTTCTCACTGGCTCATGAAAAGTTTCTGAGTAATTTCCTTTTCATTAGTTGGTTACGATGCAACTTTAATCTTGACGTAGGACCTCACTATTTAGGGGCCCAATCAATCCCCCAAACTTGAGTTCCTGCATTTTCTTCAGTCCTATGATCTAACGATCTCCTTGACTCCACTTTACTCATCATCCCCACACTATGAGTCTTATCTTCAGTTAAAATCCTTTAGGTTTGAAATCTCAAGTTCATTTACTTTATTTGCAGTGTGTCCCTGAACTCGTTCATTCAGACACTTCCTGTCCTTTGACTACATATAAAATTCAAGTACTACAATTTTATTCCTTCAATTTGCTTCCTCTCTCCAAAAAATGTCAACATTTTTTACATTAGTTGTAAGCATATTGTCTTCTTTTGCTTTCCTCATGTTTTCAGAAAATTCCTAAACCTTAATATAGCAAAATAGTTGCCTTTTCCTTGCCTGATCCAAGCAGGTGAAAAACCACACAGGCCTCCACTACTGAATTATCTCTTGCATCCTCATTTAGGCCTCCCATGCAGATTGGTCAAACAAATATATTGAGCTCATCAGTTTTCTCTCATTATCCTCAGTAACAGAATCTCTGCACTTTGCTTTAACTCTTGTTGGGTACCATTAAGTTGATTCCAATTCATAGATACTCTATAAGAAAGACTAAAACTGGTCAATATAGTTTCCTAGGATATAATCTATACAGAAGCAAATCATTAAAGCTTTTCTTCTATAGAGCTGCTGGTGGGTTCGACTACAGATCTTTCAATTAGCAATCTCACACTTAACCACTGTGCCTCCACTTGCTTGAAGCTACAATCCCTTCCCTCCCCCAATCCCCACCCATCAGCTGGGTAATGTGCTATGCTGATGTTATAATAAGGTTTAAAGGAATCTCATATCATATAAAAAAATAAACACCCAATCATCATATGAACTGAAAAAAAGATCTAAAGCTATAATCCTTCATATTATTCCCTGCCCTCAACTTCTACTTCCTTGTTAAAGGAAAAATCACCACAGTGAATTGTTTACATTTGCTTTAATCAAGTCAGCAAATTTACTCAATTTCAATCTATATTCATCCTGCCCATGATGGCACATATGACATCCATCCATTCACTCAATTCATTGCTGTTGAGTTGGAATTGGCTCATAGTGACCCCACAGCGAGCTTTTGGAGGATGCAAATTTCATGGCAAGAGACTGCCTATCTCTTTCCCATAGAGTGGATTCAAACAGCCTTTCTTTGGGCAACACACCTCTGTACTCACTGGGATGTCAGGGGGCTTTTGGAGGCTGTAAATCATATGAGAGGAGACTGCCCCTCTTTCTCCACTGGAGTCAGTGGTAGATTAGCTCTACCAGAGAGGTGTATCCTTTGAGTTAGCAACACAACTCCTTATGGACTTCACTACCAAAGCTCCCTTTCTAATAGCTATTTTTTCAACCTGCATTCTGGCATGCCCTCACTTCACTAGCTCTGGAGTTTCAAACTTGCTCATTTGATATCATGCTCAAACTCATTTTACAAACTCATTCCTCCCTCTTCTCCACAACAAATCCTTACTTTGTTTCATTTTCCCCCCAGGTTCTTTCAGAACCTCATAGCTTTCTAAGACTCTTCCTATCTCCGTGACAATCTTCTTTCTACCTTATCCAACTTAATTGAGATTTCTCATACCATTGCTTCCATCATCTCCTTAATCATAGATTTCCACTATAATTGACACTTCATCTGCATCTGTCATATTTGATCATCTCCATACCTTGACTTCTGTGATACACACCTCATCACTATATCTCTTTGCAATCTCTTCATTTTCTACTCCTACTCTGCGCATCAATCAAGTGAGCTCTGGCAACACAGTCTGTATAAGTTTCACTACTAACTTAATAACTGCACAACTTTGGAGATTTGAATTCACCAGCGGCTCCTTGGAAGATGGATGGCCAATCACACAACAATGAGGAGGAGTCATCTGTGAGTCACTCCAGACTCCACAACGAGTGAGTGAGTAATCAAGGGTTATTGTTTCTTTCATGAGATTTCTTCTAACATATGCAATATAACTGAGCATTTGCCTCTTCATCAATGAAAACATTTATATTTACTGCTACTAAATATAGACATTAAGTCCAAATACTGACTTATTAACTTGGTGTATGCTTATGGATAACATCAACTTGTCAGAGTCTCTAAGTATAAAATGAAACTTGCCATATCACACCCACAAACATCTTCTTCCTGTGTTCCTTCTTTTAATGAGAAATATTCTCAAATATCTTAACATATAAGATAAAAAAAAATTAAAAAAAGAACAGACACCAGAATCTACTAGCAGACAATGAGGAAGTTAAATGTTGGGGATGAAGATGGTGAAGGTTCTAGTTTTTGTACTCTGGACATTTAGCTAAGCAATGTTACTCCTTGGAAAGGGATATCATGCTTGGAAAGATGGAATGCCAGTGGAGGAGAGGAAGATCCCTGTAAAGATGGACTGACATAGTGACCTCAGCAATTGGCTTTTGTGTGTCAGAGGTGATTAAGATGGCACAGAATAGGGCAGAGTTCAGGTCAGCTGTTCATAGGGTCACTATGAGTGGCTCTCAACTAGATGGTACCCAACACCACCCACAACTATATTCCCTGCTCTCCTAGATTCCTACAGAACCTCCTTTTCTCATGGAAAGTATTACCTATTTATATCCTCGTGATATTCACAGAATAAAATCAAGGAAATATGCACTTCTAATTAAAAGATATACTCTGAAACTCAAAGACAAAGCAAAACGAATACAAACTGTACTTAGACTATCAGAGACATTATACTAGAATCACACAATTTACAATATGTAAAATTTAACTTTGAAATACTTAAAAACACAAAAGATAGGACTAAAAAATGAACAATCTATAAAATTACCTGATTTTATAATGTCTTAAATTTAAATTTCACAGAAGAAAAATACCTGTGTGGAAATGATTACCTTAATGAATGGGTTAGATAATGTAATAGCTAAGAAGAAGGATAATGATTAATATATCTGAAGAAAGTTCCCAGAATATAACAGAGGTAAGAAGAAAGATGATATAAAAAGGAGGCAACACGACATTGAGAAGAGGAGATGGTCAAGCTTATCTCTAAGAGCTCAGAAGGATAAAATAAGAACTCAGAGGAGGTGCTACTGAGGAAACAGTGATCAAAGTTTTAGAGCTGTGCAAACGAATGAGTCAAAAGATGTAGGAAACAAATCTCCTCAATCTAGTACATGAGGCAGAATGAACAAAGATTAATCTTTAAACAAAATTCATAGAAACATGCTATATTAAAGAAAAAGAAAAGCTGACTGAGAATAATGACAAATAATAAAGGGAAGAGATTTCTAAAGCAAATTGAACAGACTTCAAAAAGCAGTATGAAAAGCCAGAAAAAAAATTACTCAAGTGTTTCATTGTACATAACTGTCAAACTATAATTCTTTCCCATAAAATTGTGATCTAAAAATTACAGTGAAATAAAGATTTATTCAGATAAACAAATACTGATAGAATTTACTATCAAAGGCATGAAACGTCTACACAAGAGCTTTTATGATCAAATAGTATATTCCCAGAGGGTAGTTCCGAGACACAAAAAAGAATGACAAGTTTAAAAAGTAAATATAAAAATATTAGTTCAGTAAAAAAAAAATACTGTCTGTAAAAAGAATATAATTATTTATATCTAACATGTCATTCTGAAGACTAAGGCACACCTGATTCAGGCTATAGCCTTTGCAATCACTTGCTATGCATCAGAGAGCTGGACAATGAGTAGGGATGACAGAAGGAGAATTGATGTCTTTGAGCTGTAGTGCTGGAGAAGAGTACTGAATATACCATGAGAAGTTAGGAGAATAAACAGGTTCGTCCTAGACAGGGTGCGACAAGGCTGCTCCTTGGAGGGAAGGATTCTGAAGTTTCATCTGACATATTTTGGACATGGTGTAAGGAGGGACCAGTCCTTGGAGAGGGACGTCAAGCTTGGGAGGATGGATGAGACCCTCGACGAGATTGATTCAGTGAGTAGGGTAATGGCGATAGTTGTGTCAGAGGAAGTAAGACTGGGACAAGACAAAGGAGGCTAAGGAGCTGTTGTATAGAGGGTCACTATAAGTCGCAAGTGACTTGACAGCACATAATTACAACTACAACAACAACATGCAGATAGATGTAAGACGATATAGTTAGACTATAAATTAGATATTAGTAATTAGAATTAGTAATATTAGATTAATTGTAACAGTCAATAAGAACAGGTAAACTATACAAAAATTTCCACTACATAAAACACGTTTTAAAGTGTTCCTTTTTTTCCAGTAAGGAAGATAAGTATTTTTCAGTTTTAAAGTTTGTAAAATTTTATATATACATAATAAAATTTAGTCACAAACTATTGTATAATGCAAGTATACGATAATAAATATAACAAAGAGATAAAAACAGAAGAGGAGGACCAAGACTCAAAAGAAAAAGCACCATTAAGCAATATAAGATGGATGATTAAGTAAGTCTAAACAGACTACAATAAGATCTATAATTACATATCAATAGAATCTCTGAGCTTTGTGGTATGGAAAATCCTATAAATATATAATTATAAAGCCTAGTGTTTATCAATTTTAACTCACTAGCACACTTAAACAAAATACAAATAATATGGGAAACTGTGGAGAAAAGGAGATTAAAAATATGGAGGCTCTGCTTTCTGCTTTTTTTTTTAAATTTTTCTATAAATTTTAAAGTAGCCATAAAAAGAAAACTTTTTAGCAGAAATCTGGGCTTTTTTCCCTCCTAGTAGCCATTGATAGCCTAATAGTTTATAAACAAAACTTTAACATATATTGCTTTCCTGAATGAGACAATTATTAAAATTTGGCTTCCCAAACCTCAAGAATGGGAGATATAATAAATATTTTTTATTAACTTCATAAAAGATCCTTACTTCAATTATGTAACTTCATGACCTTATTCACTCAGTCATGTTTTTCATGACACTAACATTTTCATGTTTTAACATTTCTCACATTTTTTATTTATATTAAGTACATTTTGCTGTAACTAGTCTTTTCACCCCAACCTTTGGTCTTATGTGTTGGTTAAGAGTAGTAACAATGGCTTCCTACATATTAAAATCCAAGTGCGGCTGAGTCTATTCTGACTCATGATGACCCCAGGAGCATCAGGGTGAAACTGCTCCTTCAGGTTCCCAAAGTGAATTCCTTGGCACCTCTGGCTAGATACGAACATCTAACCTTTTATATAGTAGCTAAAGTCATTAACCATTTGTACTCCTCACCCCCTAGACTCTTACCTAGATGGTAAAAACACAACTAAGCAACCAAGCAACCAAAACAGTTAAGTGTTTAAAAGCAGCAATATTTGTCCATGCAAATGTAAATACTGGCTCTACCACTCGCCTGGACATGCACCTAAGCACTCTCCTTTTACTCCTCCTCCACCACCTCCTCTCATGGGAGTAATAAACTGGCCTGCCATACAGAAGGGATCTAAGTTGAAATAATACACACTAATAGTTAAGGGCACTGTCTGACACTTATTAAGGTCCCAAATTAACCATTTCTTTTAAATTATAACTTCGATCAAGTTGTACTACCTACATATGACAACTTAGACTCTGGACTCCTGCCATTAATAAAAACCCCCAACACATAGCATACCTCTTCAGGGCATCCACTGTCCACCCAGTCCTGCCGATGGCGATCAAATCCACTGGAACATCTTAAGGAAAAAAAAAGCATGATGGTTTGGAAAATATAGGTGGTTGTAAGCAGTCTATTCTTCAGTTTTCATTTTAGTACAATACATACTTCTACAGAACTGTGATCTGGAGCAGTGGGGCATGTATACTGTAGATGAGTCAGCACTCACTATTTAGGTGATAACACTATTATCAGAGGTCATGGCCACCTATTACTCTGAGCAGACTGCAACGTGCAGAGCTTGAGTCCCTATGCAATGCATTTACTTATCACTAGCCACTGAATTATAGAGAGCTCTGTTGTAAGGAGTTGCACTGCCAAGCAAAAAGCATGTGGCTAAAATCTATAATCTGTTGTACAGAAGAAAGATAAGCAATCTCCTCTTGTACGATACACAGCTTCTAAAAACCCACTAGGGGGTCACATGAGAGTCGGTTCTGACTCTATGGCACATTAACTATAAAAACAACAAGTTGAGGAACTGAGTTTTCTTTATCCTAAGACTTTATTTTTTTTTGTCATTGTTGTTGTTGTTGTTGTTATGTGCTGTCGAGTCGTTTCCAACTCATAGCGACCCTAGGCACAACAGCCCTAAACCCTGCTCTATCCTGCGCCAACCGCACCTCCTCGGACACACCCATCCCAATTACCCCAGTCACCGAATCAATCCATCTCATAGAGGGTCTTCCCCTCCTGTGCTGTCCGTCCACCCTCCCAAGCATGATGTCCCTCCCCAAGGACCCGTCCCTCCTGGCAACATGTCCAAACTATGGCAGACAAAGCCCCAGAATCCTTGCCTCCAACGAGTAGCTTGGTTTAATCCTCTCCAAGATGAATCTGTGTGTTTTCCTGGCAGTCCATGGTACATTGAGTACCCTTCTCCAGCACCACAGCTCAAAAGCATCCACTCTCCTTCTGTCCTCCCTAGTCATTGTCCAACTCT